TTACTCATATACAGATAAGTGTCTTAAGGGCCTTCTTTGGCTAAATTCTATGATGACTTGTCCTCATCATGTTGTTGCCGTTCAGGCGCTCCTCACCTGGACTTGGTAGAGACGATGAAGGTTGAACAGATGATCCATGCTGAGCCTATGCCTTTTGTTGAGCTGGTGACACCAGATAACCTTTTCTTATTCAGTTCTGCAGTGGCTGATATGGACTTTGTTTCTTTCCCAGACTCTCCTAATGCCTTCTCTCCCAAATCAGATGAGGATGAAGACGCTGGTACATCTTCCAGGAAGCGTAGGAGGAGCGACTCCACTACTGGCTCCTCTTTTCCCTTGTCTAGGTCTTCCATGGGAGCGGTTCTATTTTCTTCTATTGGACAAAAATTTTTGAAATTGCTTGCCGAGCTGGAGAGGCGACTTAAAGGGAACTAGAAGCTTTACCTTGATCTTCTATTATTTCACTCTCCTATCATCTTGATGTGATAGAAACCTTTAGCTTTTTCTTCTCCCTTCCCCCTTTTTTATCTGCTTGTATGTGCTCATGAACCGCGAACAAGTTCATCGCTTGTTACATATTTTATGATCTGAAAGGCTCAATTGTTTTTATGAGTTAAAGAATTCATAGCTGATTTTCTATGAGCTAAAGAGATCATCCTTATAAGCTGAATGGTTTATCTTCAATTTATGAGCTGAAGAGCTCATCTTTGATTTATGAGCTGAAGAGTTTATCTTTGTTTTATGAGCTGAGGAGCCCACTTTATTTTATGAGCTCTGCAGCTCATCTTTATTTCATGAGCTGAAGAGCTCATCTTTATTTCATAAGCAGGTGAGCTCATCTTTGTTTTATGAGCTGAAGAGCTCATCGTTAGCTTTTCAGCTACTTCAGGGAGTCAAAAAAGGGTGAATCAAAAACTTGTTGTTTTATTGAGAACAACCTTATTACAAAAGAATCTTACTGGAATAATTTTTTATAATGCTCTGCGTTCTAGGAGTGAGGTAGGATTTTTCCCTCCTCTGTTTGCAACTCGTAGTTCCTTGGCCTGACCACCTTGGAAATGATGTAAGGACCTTCCCAATTAGGGGCCAGCTTTCCATGAGTGAGGTCCTTTCTTGCAAGCAGGAGCTTTCTAAGTACTAGATTCTTAACTTTGAAGCTTCTGTGTCTGACCCTTTTGTCATAGTATCTGGTTGTCTTTCTCTGACAGCTCTTGCTACGATGCAGAGCTCTATCTCTCTTTTCATCCAAGAAGTCTAGGTTCAGCAAAAGTGACTAGTCATAATGCTCAGATTCTGCAAATTCAGCCTTGGGAGATGGAAGTTCAACTTCAACAAGTGCTACTGCTTCAGTTTCGAATGCCAATGCAAATGGTGTTTTTTGGGTTGCTAACTTGGCAGTTGTTCTGTAGGCCCACATCACTTCTAAGAGGTGGTCTACCCATTTTCCTTTTAGTGTCTCCAGCTTAGTCTTCAGAGCTGCCTTTATAGTTTTGGATGGTGACATTTGCTTGTCCGTTGGACTGAGGATGGGTTGAAGCTGAAAAGTAATTCTTTATCCCTAACTCACCACAAAATTTTTTGAACTTAAGATTGTCGAATTACTTTCCGTTATCAAAGAAGATCGCCCTGAAATCCCAAACCTGCAAATTATGGACTTCCACATGAAATTCTGAACCTTCTGTTTCTGTGATTGTTGCCAAGGGTTCCAATTCCGCCCATTTGGTGAAGTAATCCATTCCAATGATGACGAACTTGCACGGCCCTATACCCAAGGGAAGGGGGCCAAGGATGTCGACACCCCATTGCTAAAATGGTCAGGGACTCACCACTGACGTTAGGAGCTCCGGTGGGCAATGGGAGTTATTGGTGTGTAGTTGGCATACTTTACACTTCTTGATCAAGTCCATGGCATCCCTGAGTATAGTAGGCCAGTAATACCCTTGTTTCAAAGCTTTTCCTGCCAAGGCCCTAGCTCCAATATGATTACGACAAACTTCTTCATGAATTTCTCTAAGTATATAGTTGGCGTCCTCGTCCCCCACACATTTGAGGACAGGTGCTAGAAACCCTCGCTTATACAGATCCCCCTGCAAGATTAAGAATTTGACTAACCTCGTTCTCAGCTTTGCAACTTCCTTCGAGTCTACTGGCAATGTTCCATTTTGAAGATACTCTTTGATGGGATCCATCCAGCTTAGTGAGGTCAAAACAAGGAGCACTTCTTCTTCCTTAGAACTTACTAATGGCTCTGCTAAATATTCCACTGGTATCAACCTATCCAAGTTTTCTTGTGAGACAGTTGCTAGCCTTGCCATCGCATCTGCTCGCGAATTCTCAGACCTAAGGACATGCCTAATTTTAACTTGCACAAATTTCTTAATCAACTCATCCACCTTTCTGAGATAACTGACTATTTTTTCGCCTTTAGCCTCATAAAACTCCTTTATCTGCTTCACCACAAGCTAAAAATCATTACAGATCTCAAGTTGCTCTACTTTCATTGAAAGTGCAAAATTGAGCCCAACAATGATAGTCTTATAGTCCACCTTATCGTTTGATAGGCGTACACTGCTATAGCTACAAACCACTTATACTTTTTTTTTTTCCTTTTTCTTTTTTTTTTTTTGGGTAAGAAACCACTTACGTTTTCAAGATCCTAATAACACTTGTGACATCAGAAAAAAATGACATCAACAAAATTGATATTTTAGAAGCCAATATAAATATTGCCGTCTAACCTTAACATATGATCTCTCTCTCGTAACATAAATAGCTAGAAGTTGAAGCTTCTCTGACATAACTCTATTTCCAACAAGTTGTAATGACAATTTTGAATTTAAGAAGCGTGACAACTATTTGCACTAACTACTCGCGACGCTTGTTCAGTGAACGGCGATAAGTTCTTCCCACAATTTTGCAACTAGTAAATATGTCGTAGACTGAAGCAATTTTTGCGCCTGGCACGTGCATCACACATGCCCTTTCATAGGCCCCTGGAAATTTAGAAGTTGCAGTTCCCAAAAACAAAATGCATTTGATATAGAGAATGAATGTAAGCCCAATGAGGCACAAAAACTGATAAATGGCATACTGCTGTTAAGACCTTTTTTTTTTTTTTTTGAACTGGCTGTCAAGACATGAAAGTCAGAATTTTGAACCTTACAACATCCATCCAAAATAATTGGATGATTTTATTTTTCTTTACCTATTCCATCTCAGTAGCTAAATAATGCATGAAAGAATCCACGATTGTATCCAATGATGCACAATATCACTTTTGGAGATGTCCTAATTGCCCGTTCCTACACAGTTGCAGCTTTGAGAGAGAGAAAATCTGAAATCTTGTTGGTGTAGAAATCTGGTTGTATGGAGTTGTTAGGATTTTGAAGCATTAGCAAATTAGTCACACCTGCCAAATAAAAGAGAAATCATTATTGTATAACAAATTATGACACCAAAAATTTAGAGGAAAAAATCTGCAGTGCCACCTGAGAGAACAAGAAGGGTCTTGCATCCACCATTTTGTCCGAAAAGAATATCAGTATCCAACCTGTCGCCCACCATGCATATTTGGGACTTCAGAATGCCAAATCTGCCAGCAAGTGTACCAATATAACTAAGATTAGAGATTAAGTAGCTTACATACAGCCAGTTCACTAACTTTCAAGTAACTCTTCTTCAATAAGTTGCAATCATTAGTGTTCATTGTGTCAAAGATTGAGATGCATGCATCAAAAAATCCTCTCTTGAATGGTGATGGACTACTTCTATGGCAAAGATTCAGAATAGTAGTACAAACGCATGCCAACAGATACATATCCAGACATTTATGCTTTCTCAAGGTTGGAAGTCGGGTCAACGTTGAGACAGTTTATTGGAATGTTTGTGGTTCTGGCTCACTTTTCTGCAGAGCAGCTGCTTAATAATGTTCAGACTACTAATGTCTTGACACAAAAAGGGAAATCCAGGTTATGCAATTTTTGGAATTCAATATATGAACAATCTAAATTACGCAAAGCATAGGAAAAAAGGCTGCGACATAATAGAAATTTCATAATTAACCTCGTGTTCATTTCGCATGTGATCTTGCATTGGAGAGGCTACTGGTCATAATAAAAAAAAAGAAAGAAGAAGAATCCCTCTCTCTCTATCCACACTTATGCTATCATGTGTATACGTGCATACATACCATTGTGGATGTCAAATTACATAGACATAGACACATACTTGAGACAGACAGAACCATAAGAGAATACAAAATCTTATATGTAAAATGTGGTCAGTCAGCTCATCTCTAGGTTCAGCCATGTTTACATTCGTAAAATACCAGCAGAGATAATAGATATCCGCTGCTAACTTTTAACATTATTTATTTTCTCCACAAAGAATCAATTTATAGAATTAGATGTTTTGCTAGAATAACCTTTATGAGAAGATTTTCTTACGGCAAAGTTCCCTTAATATCATTTTTCATATGCATAAATGCTTACTAGTAATTTATCATTAGTCTTGTTTAATGACATGGATGCAACATATTCTTTATATGAGTGATACATTTTGTAGCTGTCCAGGTCTTTTGAAAAATAAGATTTGATAGATGGAGGGGGAAGAGAAAACAATGGAAGTCCCTTTATTAAGATATGTTATTGGCTGACTAATCACTATAACTAAAAGAACTTGTCACCTCTATGGCAAAATTTACATGATCCACATGAAAAGAGCACTATTCTCACCCTGCCTTGTACCTTCCCCCAACACCCATGCTGAACCCTATTACACTTTCCATTTGCCAGTGCAAGCAATTCTGATATTACAACTAACCATGCAACAGAGACAAGAATAAAAATTTGGATAACGTACTTGTTTGCTAAGTAGTCCATCATAAAGGTTGATGGCTTTCCTACAACAATTGGCTCACGCTGTGTAGATCCGCTAAGGGCACCGACCATAGAACCACCACCTGAAGCCAATACACATTATACTGTTATATTAGGACAATGTCACTGATAATTGTTTTCTGCCATGCAAATGAAACATGACACGACTCTTCTTAGATTAGATTGTGATTTAATTGAATTATGAGAAAATAAAAAGGGTGGTCCAGAGCACAAGGTTCTTGTCATTGCAGAGTCTGGGGAGGGATTCAAGTGCGCAGCCTTACCTCCGCATGTGACGAGGCTGTTTTTTTTTTTTTTCTCTCCTCTTTTCTGTAACTGTGCACCCCACAACCATGGTCTAGGGTTGTGGGTGCTGGCTGTTGTGATGAAATTCCTTTGTGCATTCGTTCGAGTGTTTGCTGCTATGCTATGATCAATGTGTGCGTTGATTGCTGCTGTGTTGTTCATGTGTTTGCTCAAACTCTTTTGGTTGTGTTGTGGTAGTCGCCGGTGATCGGGTGTGCCATTATTGATACCAAAGTCAAAGTCGAAGTCGACTCAAGTGTTGGCCTGATATTCTGTGAACGACGACTGTCTTGGGTTTGTCGTGGTGATGGTGGTCACCAGAGGCTTGGGGTGGAGTTTTTGCTGTTGCTGGAGGTCTGGTGTAGCAGCATTGTCATGTCCAGTGAACGGCTAGGGTTCTATCAAGCAAGTTGCAGTGGAGAAGACAGGATCCAGGGACATCCGAATCGACCCATAGGATTATAAAATCTCCGGATCAACCCAATGGGTTATAGAACTTCCTTGGGCCTACGAGTTTTCTTTTAACTTGACTTGGACCAATCAACCCAAGTCTGGGTCCAAGTCCAGACCAACGCAGCAAAACAAGGTCCAGCTAGTTCGACTCCGGCCCAAGTCCTTTCAAAGCCCAACCAAGTCAGTCCAGTCCAGCTAGCCTAACCCGGTTAGCCAAAACCAAGTTTGCTCAGCCGGCTCAGCTACATTTAGACCGTTTAGCTCTAAACCAGACTGGTTCAGGTTCAGATAAGGCCAGTTCAGTATGGTTCAGGTAATTCCATAACCGGTTCTCACTGTTTCTGGAGGTTTCCAGCCGAATTCTCCATTTTCAACCACTACAGGGGCTATCTTAGAACCGTTTCAGCTCCTTTCTTCACCGGTTCAGCCTGGTTCAGCATGTGTTCTCCTACTTCAGCAGCCCAGTTTCTGCCTGTTGCAGCTTCCGTTGCAATGTTCAGTGCCTTTAGTCTTGGGTCGTCTTCTTGTTCTCTGATTTTGCACTATTCGGGTGATGGTTTTTACACTAGTTTGTCTACTTACCTTACATTTGTCTCAACATTTGTGATATTAATATGTTCACTTCTTGCTAGCATCATGCCACCCACACTTCTTTTTAATGCCCCTATGACTATAGTGAAACTCAATGGGACTAACTACATTTTATGGTCTCGTTCTGTTCAAGTATTTCTTAAAGGCAAAGGCCTTAAAAAGTACTTGGTGGAAAAACCCCCTAAGGAAAATGACCCCGGGTTCGAAAAGTAGGAACAAGAGGATGCCCAGATTATTTCATTAGTGTTGCAGGTAGCCTGTCCCTACCAGAAACTCAGCCTATCCCGCCTGAAAAAAATTTCACGGGCCAAGCCAGGTCCCCCTATTCTTACAGCTTGTGATCTCATTAATTGTATACCCTCTTCGGTGTTAAATACGCAGAGTCAAGATTTTATCCTCTTCCCTAATTTTCCTTACTCCCTAAGGTCTTCGAGGATGTCTGTTATGTTCACAACTGGGGTCCACTTGGAATAGTTGTGAGTGAAAAAGAGATACAAACTAAGTGTAGAACCCCCGTATATATAGTTAAACAATAAATATACAATAAGGATAAAAAGGTAAAACAAAGGTAGAAAGGAAAACCCTAATAATCTAGGCTATAACTCCAACACTCCCCCTCAAGCTTGACACAAAAATATCAACTAAATCAAACTTGACAACTCAGTCCTGAAGAATAGATAGAGTGATAGATTTGATGAAAACATCTGCAACCTAATCACTAGTCCCCACAAACAATGGAGTGACAATATCACGGCTAACCTTCTCTCGAAGAAAGTGAATATCAATCTCTATATGCTTCGTCCTCTTGTGTAATACAGAGTCAGAAACGAGCTGAATAGCAGATCGATTATCACAATATAATGTAGATAGAGAAGTCACTGAAAATCCTAACTCACCAAGAATCAATCGTAGCCAGATAATCTCACATGTGTCGATTGTTAATGCTCGATACTCTGCCTCTGCTAACGAATAGGAGACAACTGTCTGCTTCTTACTCTTCCAAGAGATAAGATGAGTTCCTCGAAAAGCATAGAAGCCCGTAGTAGATCGACCGTCACATGCCCCCCATAATCTAAATTTAAATAACAAGCTAGCGACTAGTCTGAGATCCTGATGCATAAAACAACCAAAGTCCAGCACAAGACTTGAGGTACCGAAGAATATAATAAACTACATCAACATAAGGCTAACACAGCCTGTGTATGAACTGACTAACTCAGCTGACTGCGAATGAAATGTCTAGCCTAGTGTTGTCTAGGTGGATAAGTCTACCTACCAATCTCTGATAGACAGTCGGATCTCTCAACTCCTCACCTTCAGCAGTAAGCTTCAGGTTTGGAATCATGGGTGATGATGCCGATTTACACTCCAGCATCTCAGTGCCTTAAAAAAGATCCAGAACATACTTTCTCTGAGAAAGAACAACACCCCTACAACTACGGGCAACCTCAATCCCAAGAAAATATCACAAAAATTCAAGGTCCTTCACATCGAAGGTCTTTTCAAGGTCTACCTTGACCTGCGCAGTCCCAAAAACATCATTTCCAATAATAATAATATCAACATATACCAAAAGAATGACACATTATCCAAAAGTATTTCGACGAATAAAACAAGTATGATCAGAATGACATCTGGTGAACCCCAAACGTACGACTAAATCACTAAAGCGAGAGAACCAGCTCGTGGTGGCCGTTTCAGTCCATAAAGAGACTTACGCAGTAGACATACCTTTCCCAACATACTCTCCCTTACTGAGAAAGTCCGGCGGTGCATCCATATAAATAATCTCGTCCAGATCACCGTGAAAAAGCGGATTCTTCACATCTAATTGATGAAGAGGCCAAGAATACTTCGCAACCAAAGAAATAATCAACCGAACAGTAGTCAATTTTGCCACGAGGGCAAATGTAGCACCAAAATCACGACCTGGTACCTGAGTAAAACCCTTCGCCACAAGCCTAACCTTGTGACGATTAATAGTACTATTCATAAGAAACTTCAAGGTGTAAACCCAACAGCAACCAACAGGCTTCACCCCTGAAGGTAAAGAGACAAGATCTCATGTATGATTACGCTGAAGAGTGTTCATCTCCATCTGCATGGCAAGAACCCACTAGGGCTTCTGTATAGCCTCTGAAATAGAGCGAGGAACCGGCGTATCCGATAAGACTATGCTATAAGCTCAAAATGGAGGAGACAAATCACTATAAATATAAGCATAGATCGGATATAAAATTCTGGCGGTTCAACTATAACGATCAACTGGACGACGATCACGCTGCGGATAACGACGCCCTAAATTATCATTCTCCACTGACAATGTCTCATCAGGTAAAGTAACTGACTCAGTAGCTACAATCTCATTAGTACTAACAATCGGTGCATCAATATGCTCAACGAACTGAGAAGTATTACATGCATCAGCTAAGGTAAAGGGAACATCAGCAAGAAAATAAGAGTGAGGGCGACAAACATAAACCTGCAAAGAAAGAGACTAATGACTCTGTACTAATAGGGATAAGTGGCTTCGGTGGAGAAGAGACTAATGACTCTGTAGTGATAGTAACCAATGGCTCCGACTCCTGTGGTAATGAAAAATCAAATGGAGTATTATCAATTAGAGGAGAAGACACAGGACTGGAAGAAAAATAAGTAATATGCTTAAAAAATGTAACATCTAGACTATGATTCATACGACGCCTGATAGCATCATAACACCGATACCCCTTCAGACTGATGACAATAGCGCCCATAAAAACACAACAAATCGCTTTATCATCAAACTTATGGCGAGTAGGAGACCAATCCTGAACAAAACATGTGCAGCCAAAAATACGGGGGGAATCGGAAAGTGTCTGTTCAGGGAATAAGACCTGTAAGGGAGCTCTATACTAAAGAACACGACTCAGTGTACGATTGCACAAAAAAGGTAGATGTCAAAACAGCAAAATGACAGTAAGATTTTGGTACCCCCATACCTCTAAGCATACAATGTCTCATCCCTATCAGACACCTACGTTTCCTTTCAACAACTCCATTTTGCTCAGAAGTATATGAACAAATGAGCTGCTGAAAGATACCCTGGGAAGAAAAGTGAGACACTAAAACATTAGACACATATTCTTTGGCATTATCTGAACAATGACATCGAATTGTGTCTTAATCATCTGAAGAAACTGAGTGATGACAAGGATTACATCATACTTCCTATGCAAAAGGTAGACCCAAGTACAACAGGTATGATCATCTATAAATGTCACATAGTATCGAGCACCTGACAGAGCAGTAGCAAGAGAGGGTCTCCAAATATCAGAATGTATTAAGTCAAATGGCTTGGGTGACTGGTACATGCGAGGAATATAACTGGTCCTAACATGTTTTAATGGGGAACATATAACACAATCATGTTTACCACCAACACAAGCATTGTTTAAAGCAGAAAACAACATACATAAATATTTAAAATTTATATGTCCAAAACGATCATGCCACAACTGAACAGTTTGTGACGAAAAATTATATCAAGTACTAATTAAAATACTAACATACAAGCTAGCAACAGATAAAGACAAAACAGTTGTAGGTAATGGAGGTGAAGGAATTGGTGAAACTGGAAGTGAATCGCCTAGATAATACAGTCTATCTCTCTCATATCCCCTGATAATAATCCTCCTAGTACTCAGGTCCTACAAATAGCATGAATCAGATAAGAACACAACTGCACAGTGAAAATCTCTGGCTAACTGATGTATAGATAATAGATTCATGACTACCTTTGGCACATAAAACACCAAACGTAATGTAAAGTCATCTGGGAGGCGGATTGTACACCTACTAACAATAAGGGCATGTGTTCCATTTGCTAGCTGAACCTATGTATGTAACTGCTCATCAAAAGTGGTGAAGTGATGGGCCTCACCTGTTATGTGACCATTCGCACCCGTGTCTAGCATCCAAAAGGGAAACGGACTGGCACAAGCATGAAAGGCACGAGGTGTACCTTGTAATGGTGGCAGCTGCAATAGTCAGACTCTGAGAAGTCAGAGTAGACATAAGTATATCTAATCGGGAAGTGATAGCATCCATATCACTTTACCAAGGAGGGGCAATAACAG